CTGTATTCTGGTGGCGGGCTTGGCAGTGTCACCCAGCTGGGGACGGCTCCAGCGCCCACTGCCCTCCTGCAGGGAACCACAGGGCAAAGCGTCCCCCCATCCATTTGAACGTCTGTGTGTCTGTGCACTGCCTGTGTGGCATCCAGCACTGCCGACCACACCCTCTACTTCACTCTCCACTTCTGTGACCCTGGTTCACAGTCCTAGGAGATCAGACTTAGGGGGCCTGTGCTGTGTGCCGACGGGCAGGGCCTCTGGGATAGCCCTCCCAGCCCTCTGCCAGTGGGTCCTGTCATCCCCGTTAGGCACGAGGAAGTTGAGGCTTAAAGAGATTACTCCTCTGCCCCAGGTCACACACGTGTGGAATCAGGACGTGAACCTCAGTTTTGTGGACTCCAGGGCTCCGCTCCTCTACCGCATTCCCCATCTCTCCCCTGGTTCCTGCCAGTCCCCCCACCTCCACCCCGGGCACTGCTGCTTCCACCTGCCCCATCAGTAGAGCTGGTTACAGGGTTCTCTTCCCTTCTTACCCAATACCGAGATTCTTTTTTTTTTTTTCCCTTTCCAAGGGTTTTTTTTTTCTTTTAGATTTTGTTTATTCATGAGAGACACAGAGAGAGGCAGAGACATAGGCAGAGGGAGAAGCGGGCTCCCTTTGGGGAGCCCAATGTGGGACTCGATCCCAGGACCTGGGATCATGACCTGAGCCAAAGGCAGATGCTCAACCACTGAGCCGTCCCCCTTATTAAATAAGTCTTTACTTAAATTCAGTTAGTTAACATACAGTGTCTATTTAGTTTCCAGTGTAGAATTTAGTGGTGCAGTGCTTCCCTGTAACACCTGGTGCTCATCACAAGTGCCCTCCTTAAGCCCCATCACCTAGTTCGCCCATCCTGATAGCAGAGATTCTTTTTTTTTTTTTAATTTTATTTGTTTATTCACAAGAGACAGGGGGGTGGGGCAGGGACACAGGCAGAGGGAGAAGCAGGCTCCATGCAGGGAGCCTGACATGGGACTCGATCCCAGATCTCCAGGATCAGGCCCTGGGCTGAAGGCGGCGCTAAACTGCTGGGCCATCGGGGGCTGCCCGATAGCAGAGATTCTTAATCAGAAGTCAGCAGAGCCCTTGGCTTCGGGGATCCTGCGACCCTCCGCAGTGGTATGCAAAATATCATGTGTAGGGTCTTCTGAGAAGCCATAGCTTTTATTTTAGGAGCTAGGCTGGGGTTTTGTTGGTACTTGATATTTTTATGGCTGGGGAAACCCCGAAATGCCCCAAATCATATTTTGGTCTTACTCCTCCTTTCCCTGAAATTCCTGAGGAGGCTCTGCCTCAGGACAGTGACAGATGGGAAGAATAAAAGAGAGCCACGGAATTGTTCAGTGTGCCAGTTCCCAGCGCTCTCATACAGGGCTCTCTGGGACTCGAGACCCAAGCACAGGGCTCCTTTCCCCGGAGGCTGGGAGCAGAGGCTGGGCCCATGCTGCGTGGAAGCAGGAAGTTAAAAAGAGGGGTGTGTGTGGGTGTGAGAGAGAAAGACTTCTTGCCTTATCCCAGTAAATGTGACACACGCAGTACCCTCGTACCTAAGTGGCCAGATCAGCTGCTTCTCCTCCCCACTGAACCTTTGTCAGAATCTCACAGAGGGTTTGAGCTAATAAGCCAATTTCCAACAGTTTCGCATAGTGGTCACATAAGGGACTTCAGACGTTGTTTCAGAGAGGACATCTCGTGTCATGGAGAGAACGAGATTCTGAGGTTGGACCAGCCAGATTCTCCCCTAGCCTCTCTGATCCCCAGGGCCCTCTGTGAAATGGGATATGGGACACCTACCAGGTGACCCCAACTCACCTCAGAGCTGCTGGAGGGCAGAGGGGAGGTCCCATTCATCCTTAACCCCAGGCCCTAGAATTCCTAAGGCAGGAACAGTAGTGACGGTGGTCCATTGACCATCTTGGCATCATGGCACTCAAGTTTGATTATTGGCCCAGCCACTTGCGTGACCTATATTGAGCATGTTGCTTCATCTTAGAATCTGTACCTATGAAGTGGTTGAAAGTAGAGGACATAGAAATCAAGTAATGTTTCTGAAAACTAGCCAGGAGCCTTGCACACCCTTAGCTGTGCCCCTCCGCCTTCTGCTCTTCAGGTGTGGGGGGCAGGCATGGGCAGGAACCCCAGGTGGGGAACTGTTGAGGCCTGCCAGGCTCCGCAGAAGGGACAGGGGCCTGGCACAGGCTGGCACCTGCATTCCTTTCAGTCCACACCTGGCCTTCTCAGGAGGGGCTCCTCCCCAGGTCTGCATAAGATCTCGGCCATCCCCGCCCTTCCCTTTCCTACTGTGTCCTATTGTCCCTGCCTTAGGGCCTGTGGAATTCTAAGAAGAGGAATCGAAAAAAGCAGATGACCAGTAAGCCAGGGTGGGCTGGAGAGACCAAAAATCCAATGTGGATTCCCGGGTTTCTGGTTTGGAAGATGGGGTGGATAGTAGAAGAGAGAGGACAAATAGTAAAAGAGAAGAGCATATAGATAGTAGAAGAGGGACAGAGCAGATCTGGGGAAACCAGAAACCATGTCCATGTCTAGCAACAGCAGATGGTTAACTAAGCTATGATATATCCTGGTGACACGGTTCTTAGAAAACATTTTTTAATTAAAATAAATAAATAAATACAAATTTAAAAAAATTTTTTTTGGTTAAGATTTTCTTTATTTATTCCTGAGAGACACACAGAGAGAGGCAGAGACATAGGCAGAGGGAGAAGCAGGCTCCATGCAGGGAGCCCAACGTGGGACTCGATCCCGGGACTCCAGGATCAGGCCCTGGACCGAAGGCAGGCGCTCAACTGCTGAGCCACCCGGGTGTTCAAGAAAACATACTTTTGATATCTAACATTCAGTTATATAGATTTATCATTTAACCAAACCTCTGCTGTATACTTCTGGGGTATTTTCTGGTTTGAATTTCACTTTTATCAAGAACACTGGGATAAACAGCTTTTTTACAAAGGTCTTCACCATTCTGGTTACTTTTAGAAGAGAAATGTTGCAGTCGTCAGGTATAAAAACAGCCTTGATGCTGTTGATACATAATGTCAGATTGCTTTTTAGAAAGGCTCTACCAATTTTACTCCTGTAGCAGTACAGGGAACTCCACCTGGGTGTGTACTTCCCACCACAAGCACCAAGATCTGGTCACGGAGATACATACATACACATACACGTATTTTAGAGGATAAATAGCATCTTATTTTAATTTGCATCTCTGTCACTATTGAGTTTTTTTATGCTTATTAACCTTATTTTATGTTCTATTTTTACGGTGTCTCATTAACTTTCATGAATTTTTAAAATATGTAGTTATTATTTGTGACAAAATGTTTCTCACTTTTTTGTTTCCCCTCTTAGTCTTACTTATTTTATTTTGGATATACCAAAGCCCTTAAAAAGGTTTACCAAGTCAGAATCTTTTAAAAATTTATTTCTAACACTATATTAACATGTAGAAAGTTCAGTGATAAAATATATACGTCAGTTTTCTTTTAGTTTTGCTTTTTCAGCATTTAGTTATTTTGTGGACAGTACGAGGAAAGGAGGTAAAAGGATCTTCTTTTCTAAAAAGCAAATTTTCAAATATCACTTGCTGAGAAAATCATCTTGTACCCACTGACCGTGAATCTTCCTTTAGCATAACTATATATACATATACATCTCATAACTATATATATATCTATATATATAGCCACCCTGGGATCCCCTCCTGTTGTTTTTGTTTTAAAGTCATTTTTAAATATTTATCAATAAAGGATTGTAGGGGTTTTGTTTTGTTTTGTTTTTTTTAGAGGTCACGTATCTTTAAGTCTATCAGTCAGTATTTGATATTTTTGTTAGGATTGCAATTGGGATCTGTATTATTTCTAGTGACTGTTTCCTGTTGGAGTACAGATCCCAGTATGAAATTATTCTGTCCATTCTAAGTTTAGTTGATTTTTCTTAGGTTTCCTGGGCAAATAACAAATGCCCTGAAATACCAGGTTGGAATCCATGGCTTGGTAATGCCACCAGTCTGCAGGGGTGGTTAGATTTTCCCTCCAGCAGTACTCAGAACCCAGTAGAAAACCCAGGGTAGAAAAAGTGGCTGATTGGGTTGAGCCCAAGTCCAGGGGTTCCCTAGCCTGGGGCCATAGCAGGGCAAGGGGTAAAATGCTCCTGAGAGGTCCCTAGAGTGACCTGCTTCAGGGACTAGACGAGGAAGGGCTCATGTGCTGAACAGACACGTAGGGGTGGGAACTGGAGGGAGGGAGACAACCAGGAGAGGATGTTGTGGCCCTGGAATGGATGCTGGGATGGCAGGTTTCAGAGCTGATGCCTTTTCCGTATGGGCCCGAGCTCCCTGAGATCTCCACTTTGCAGTTACAGAAACTGGAGCTCTGAGAGCTTGTCCGTTGTCTAAAGTCCCCCACTGCTGATCAGTGGCTTACCGTGGTCTGCTGTGCCTTACTAGCTCATGTTCTATCCTTATTTTTCAGGTTCACTTTAGAACAGTTGACTGGAAAGCAGGGAGAGACAGCAGAAGGGACTGCTGGAGGCGAGCCCAGCAGAGCAGATAGAGAGAGGGCAGGCTCCTCGCAGGCCCCTCCGTTGGCTGCCAATGGGAGGGGACAGCTGGGCGGCCGGGTCTTCCTGCTGACCCAAGCACCCCCTCAGACCAGAGCAGCACGCCTCGAGGCCCCACACGGTGTGCCCCTGACCTTTGTGGGCAGTTCACCCCGTGTCCTCCATTGCACACTGTGGCCCTGCCACATACTCTTGTCCCTCTGTCCTACATCCTACATCCCCAGCCCCTCCCCACCCCACCCCAACACACACCAGCTCATCCCTCTACCATGGGCCCCCTCCTTGTTTCTTGGTAGCTTGCACAGACCGGGGGCCCTGCCATGCACGCAGTCCCATCACGAGCTGTGTGCCCAGCTCATGCCCCCTTATGCTACGTCCGCAGAGTGCATCAGATGGCTTCTGGAAATCCGTGGCCACGCGAGTGCCCAAGGAGCCCCCTGAGATTCGCATCCTCAACCCGTACTTCATCCAGGAGGCCGCCTTCACCCTGATCGGACTGCCCTTCAACAACGGCCTCATGGGCCGCGGGGTGAGGGGACGGGACCCTGGGGAGGGCAGGGGGAGCCGGTTTAGAGATGCCCCGGGAGGGGAGGACCAGGCAGCAGGGTGAGGGGCAGGGGGCCTAGTCTTCGGGCATGGAGCTCAGCTCTGGGGAGTGTGGCTAAGGCTCTCAGCCCAACTCGGTGCTCCAGCTGAATTCTGCATGTCCATCCCCTCCAGAACATCCCGACCCTTGGCAGTGTGGCAGTGACCATGGCACTACACGGCTGTGATGAGGTGGCAGTCGCAGGCTTTGGCTACGACATGAGCACGCCCAACGCGCCCCTGCACTACTATGAGACCGTGCGCATGGCAGCCATCAAAGAGGTGCCGGGCTGGGCGGGGGGCAGTCCCTGGGAGGGGCCGGGGGAGGGGTGCACGCAGCACAAACGAACAGAAAGGGGTGAGCCAGTGGCTAGTCTGGCTGCCTGGAGCTGGCAAGAAGGCTCGCCCTGCCCTTAGCTAGGTTGGGTCACTGGAGGTCCCTCCCTGCCTTTGGGTCTGATCACCAGGTATTCTGTGCCCCCTTCCCATCCCTGGTCCCCAAACTTTGCCTCCCTAGCCTTCTCCCTGCCCTGCTCCTGCACCTGCCTCATCCTTGCTATTCCCAAATGTCATACGCTAATCCTGGTTCCAGCTCAGGGCCATCTTCTCTATTGCAAGTCCTGTCTTCCCCCAGAAGACTTCCATGCCCCCTCAAACCACCCAGAGATGTTGCCTGTCAGCGTGGGGACAGTCCCTGTACCTGTTCTTCCCTCCCCTGTGAAGGGGAGCACTGAAGAGCTGAAGCTCTTTATCACCCAGAATTGCTTCCCGGGTGATCCATACGTCCAGCTGCGCTCATGTTCAGCAGCGTTGAGGCTCTCTGGGCTGGCATCAGCCACTTCTGACAGCATCTCTGCCTTCACATCCAGAGCCGTGGGAGCCCCTCTTAGAACTCCCTCCACTTCCATTGTCAGCCTTCCACTGACGCCAGCCTGGGACCAGCACATCGTGGGCCGGCGCTTTGAGCAGCTTCTCTGCCCCCACATGAGGGGATGGGGTGGACGGGGTGTTGAGGATGCCTCCCATCTGTGCAGATTCCTAGTTCTGTAAATATAGGGGTTCCCATCCCAGCCAGCCCTCCTTCCTGCTCATTACCCTTTCGCACGTGCTTCTCCAACCCAGAGCCCTGTACTCCCTGAAAGCTCCCCGACCCTCCCTGCAAGAAGGACTCGCCCCGTCTGCCCTCCTCCCTCCCTGGCTGCCCCGTTCACCTGCCATGTCTCCCTCTAAGGTCACCAGCGACTCAGCTCAAAGCTGTCAAATCCAGTGGACACATGGAAGCCTCATCTTTCCTGACCTCCCAGAAACGCTTTTTCTGTTGACCATCTTCCTCTTTGAAACTTTTCCTGCTCAGACTGGTGAGCCTGTAGTCTCTGGTGTTCCTCTTACTTCACACGCCGGTCTCTCTCCTTCTCTTTCTCGGCGTCCTTGATTTCAGTCCACCCCCGAAAGGTCCGCGTTCGCTAGGGCTCCGTCCTGGACCGCCTTCTCTTCTCACTCTCCACATCCTCCAGGAGATTGGCATCCCCACCTGTAGCTTGAGTTACCATCTGTATGGTCTCACACTTGTTGGTTCACTCAGGACATCTCAAGTGATGGGAAGTTACTGCAGGAATTTAAGAGAGAGCCTTGGGAAACCAGAAGCAACCTTCCTGTTGCCTGGAGCGGGGTTCAGGAGCAGGGCGCCCATCCTGGGTCTAGGTCAGCTCCACTGTCTGATGCCATCCTCCTCGGCAGTGGTTCCAGGCCCTGCCTCCTTGTTGCCAGGAGCCCAGTGGTCTTTCCATCTGTGTCTCTTCTCCTGTATCTTCTTGCTCTCTTGCCCCCTGCCACCACCCCCTCTGAACCACTAGCACAGCTCTTACCTGGCTTCTGGCTTCTGGTTCCTTGTATCTTTGGTCTCTTACAAACTTTTTTTGTGTAAACTTTGTGTCAGAGTTTCAGGCAGAGGGTGAGAAGCTGTAGCCAGCTCACCCGGGGCTTTCTGTGCCATGGTGAAGAGTTTGGACTTGACTCTGAAGGCCAGGAGGAGCCACGGAGGGGTTTTAGGCTGTAGATCAGCATGTAGCAGGTCACTGTGGCTGCAGCATCAAATAGAGCGGCACAAGGCAGAGGTCAAACTAGCTGGAAGGGCATCACGGCAGTCTAGGCAAGAGATGAAGACTCCTGACCAGGAACTGCTCAGTGTTGATGAGAAGACAGACAGAAACGGAATTTTAAATCAGCAGGGCCCAGGCTTGCCTCGATATAGGAATGAGGGAGGACAGCACCTTCCCTGAAGCCCTCTGGTGGAGCCCATTCCCTTCCTTATGCCAAAGAAAGATCTCAGTTTTCAGGCCAGGCTGCCCTCCTGACACTCCCCCTCCAATTATCCTCTGACACTGGCTGGCTTGAGGCTTCTGGCATCTGCTGCACCCCCTCCATGCAGGGTGCTGGGGACTTCACACCAGGAGATCAAATGGCCTGGGTTTAGAACCTGGCTCTGTACCTTTCTTTCCTTACCAGTAAAAGGGTAATGACAGCACCTACCGCCTAGGTTTGGGGAAGATTAGACACAATGACGTGTGAAAAAAGAAAGGCCTGGCACATAGTAAGCACTCATAAATGTTAGCCATTATTACTAATGTTTTATCCGTGCTCATCACTGTTACCTCCCAATATCCTAGATGAGGACTCCCTGGAAATGCCTGGGTTTAGGATCCCTGCTGCATCTCTTCCTTGAGTGTCTCCAGGAAGCAACTGAACCATGCAGCACACTGGCCCGAGCACCACTTCCCCTGCAGTCGGCCCACAGGTCCATTCTCCAGACCCAGCAGAAGCGGGTGGGCTGTGGAGACAAGCAGAGCAAGGGTCACAGGCTGGAGGATGTACAAGGGATTTCAAGGGAGTTTAGAGAGGAGACAGAGCCAAAGTAGGGAAGAGTTCCTAAGGTGCGGGGTTGCAGAGACCAAGGGTGTTCACGCACTGTCCACCATGCCAGGTGCCATCCAGGAGTCCAGTAAGAGGAGTAGTGGGAAATGGCCAGTGACTAGGAGCTAGACTGCTAGCTGAGCAGTGGGTAGATGCTGTGCAGAGAGGCGGGCATGGGCATAGGACGTGCTCCCCGGAAGGGGGGAGGAGAACGAGGAGGGGAGGAGAACGAGGAGAGGGACGGAGCAGCAGCTCGGTCAAGGCCGAAGGGGGCTCACACAGGACTGTGCCACTCAGCGGGGAAACTCAGGCTGGAAATGTCCATTAGTGCTCTGTGAGCCCAGCTGCCTGTTCAGATAGGCGGCCGGCCTGAAGGGCATACCCCAGGGAGCCCAGAGTACAAAGTGCAGGCGGTCAGGGCAGCACCGGTGGTTAGTGACTGGACCAAGGATGGGGAGCCAGAGATAAAGATGGAAAAAGAGGTGTCAGAAGGACAGCTATGTCCAGAATCAGGGGTCCCGCTGAGCCCAGGGACCCAGGACTGCCTGGAGACAGTATAGACAGCATAGTGTAGCCCACTCGTAAGCTCCTGCACCATCTGTACCGGAGGGGGAATGAGGAGGCGTTGCCTGGCCCCAGAGGGCTACAGCCCAGGGCCGACCTTTTTTTTACTATTTTATCATGGACACTGTCAAACCTATTCATAAATGTAGAAAATAATATAATGAACTCTCATGCACCTGTCACTCACTCCCTCAAGTATCAGCACCTGCCCGGTGTTCATCTGTTCTTCCTGTCATGCACCCCACCCCACTGGTTATTTGGAAACAAGTCTCAGATACCATATCATTCCAGGCATAAATATTTCGGTAACTTTCTCCAAAAGATAGGAACTTCCAAAAAACCATCATGATACCATTATCACACCTAAAAATTTTTTTTAAATTAATAATTACTTAATATCATAAAAAATTCCAGTTTTGGGGTGCCTGGCTGGCCCAGTCAGAAGAGCATGCAACTCTTGGTATCAGGTTCATGAGTGTGAACCTCGTGATAGGTGTAGAGATTAGTAAAAAAAATAAATAAATAAGCTTTAAAAAAAAAAAAAAAGAAAGTCCAGTCTTCCACCGAGCTTTTAGCCATCAGTGACTCCCAGTGGGTGTTCTTGAAACTAACCCATCAGGCTGACTGCTTCTTCCTGGGGGTGACAAAGGGCAAGCAGGAAAGAGCAGTACAAGTTTACACACTTGTTCAGATCCTGGCCCTGCCAGTCCTCCAAGCCTCTGTGTTCTGACCCACAAATCTAATCTCCATCGGCACATCTTTATTGAGCACCCACTGTGTGCCAAACAGGCCCCTCCTTCAAAGAGAGTGTGCTGGATGATTGACTCCTTAAGGGAGGAGGGCAGATCGCGCTGGGGGTCTGCAGCAGTTCACAGACAGCAGAATGTCATGACAGGAGCCTCAAGGGGGGGCCCAGAGGTTTTGGGGAGTTTGGAGAGACAGTGGTGTGGACGCAGCAATTGAGAGAGGAAGACCCTGTAGACCTTCCAGGCGCCATGGAGCATGGAGCGGGAGAGAAGAAACAGTCACATTGGAGAGATGTCGGGGGGACACTGTCCTTGGGGCAGCCGGGTTCGTGGTCAGCCCAAGATACTGAAGGGGATATTCAGAGGATATAGGGAATTTTGTCTGAGTTTCAGATTGAAAAGATCTCTGGCCTCAGGTTGGAGAAAGGTGACTGGATGAGAACAGGGCCGGGACAGAGCCGTCGGTCCCGAGCAGGTCAGCAGTGCCCGTGAAGAAGGCGGTGAGGCTCAGTGCTGACGTAGAGCGGAGCACGCGGGTGCGGACAGACCTCCAAGAGGCTGTCAGCTTTCCCTGAGTCAGGCCACCAGTCTTTTTTCATTCTGAGAGACTTAGCCACCAGAGCCTCCTGGTCTGAGTACGCGGGACCAGGAGAGCCCAAGCCTGGGTGCAGTGTTCACCCAGGAAAGCCCCAGAAGGCGGCATGTTCCCTGTGATTTCCAAATTAACAGAAAGGTGAGCCTCTTGTCCTCAGGCCCCCTGGCTCCTCTGATCGGAGAGGCAGGATTTCATCAGCCTGGAGACTGCATTGCATCAGGCCCGAGGATGACTCAGCCACCCCACACGGTTCTCCTTCCGGCAGGGCCCACCCCCCAGGCCTGGGCCACATCTCCCTGACTCACATTGCCTATCCTCAGGGTGCCTAGGACCCAGGTGCCCTGGACGTACTGCGACGAGGCCAAGTCTGTGGAAACAAGGCCAGAAGGTCTTACATCTCCTAAGACTCAGAAGGAAAGAGGCGTAGTTCTTGTAGGGGGGTGGAAAGAGGTTCTGGGAAGGGAGGAGGAGGAGCCCTGGGACTCGGAGAGCAGATTTCCCACAGTCACAGGGCGCTGGGAGAGTGGTGGTCAGAAGAGAGTGCCAAGCTCCACTCATCACTTCCCCGTGCCTTTCCTTTCAGTCCTGGACACACAATATCCAGCGAGAGAAAGAGTTTCTGCGCAAGCTGGTGAAGGCGCGCGTCATCACCGACCTAACCAGCGGCATCTGAGGTTGGCCTAGCACATGGCCACGGAGGTCCTGGCACCGCCAAGAGGAACCCGCAGCCACCGCCACCTGTCCACTTCATTGGCCTCGGTCTGGCTCTGCCTGAAAGGCGCAGGAGTCTTCAGACCCAGAGAAGGACAGTGCCAAGGGGCCCCAGGGCTGGCGAGGCCTTGGCAGGGCAGCCAGAGCTGTGTCCGCCCAGAGGCCAGCCTCAGAGACCAGCACTTAGGCTCATTCTCAGCCTGGGTCCTTGAAACCAGAGGGCCAGGAGGCCACCGGCCGTGCCCAGCAGGCCCAGCATGCAGGAAGTGGACATCAGGCCGCAGGGCTGCTGCTGGAATAATTTCTCCAATCAGTGTTTGGTGTATTATCATTTTGTGAATTTGGGTAGGGGGGAGGGTAGGGATAATTTATTTTTAAACAAGGTTGGAGATGTCAAGTTTGGTCCTTTGGTCCACTTGCCGTGCAGAAAGAGGCCCCGTAGGCGGCCCACCGGGTAGTAGTACCAGCAGGCTCCCTGTAGAGTGGGGGTGCCGTGACTCGCCTGTGCCCTGCTTGGGGCTACAGGGAGGTGGGCAGGGCCTCCCGCCAGCACCCTCCAGCTCATGATACTGGCCTTTCTTGAGGAGAAGATGGGGTATTCCCATTCACCAGCCCCTAACTACCGCACAGGGAAACCCTGGAGCCATCACTTAAGCCAACAAGACAGACCCTGGGTTAAGCAGAGAGGACTTCAAAGCTCGGGAGGTGAGGCCCAGCCTAAGCGGTGGGAACGCCCCCCCCTCCCCAGCAGCCGCTGATCCATAGGACAGTGCCCCAGCCTGAACTGACCAACTTGGCAGCTGTTCGGGATTTCAGCAATGAGACTGTCAGGTCCTTGGGCTCTGCCTTTAGCCTGGACCAGAAGGAAGCGAGGCTCAAGGACCTCACACAGGCTGTGGCAGCCATCCTGGAAGCAATAAAGCTCTTCCTGAATCTGGCCTCCTCTCGCTTTCTCTGACTTTCCTAGAAGAAACAGGAGCCTGGGGCCTCAGCTACTGCCTTAAACCCAAGGGCCATCTCTCTAGCCCACAGACTGCTGGGTCCCTGTCTCTTCTTCTGTGAACTGCAGGACCTGGGTAGCTTGGGGGCCACCTGGGGGGCCTTCAGAAGCCTCTCCCATCCCACACGGGCTGCACCCTCTTTGCCTTAAGAGGCAGACCAGAAGTATGAGGGCAGGGGTAGTCATAGGGTAGTCTGTCCTACCCTAAAGGAGCCCCACGGACACGTCCACAGCCTTAGGACAGCGCCCCCCGGGTCCCCAGAGTCCCAGCTCGGTATGCGGAGATTCCTGCAAGCACAGGAAAGCTATATGCCGAGCCCCCGACACAGGCTCACAGGCCACACTTGCTCCTGGCCAGGCCGAACTCTGGAGAATGTGCCCCACCCCTACCCCCCCCCCCCCCAGAGCACAAAGGCACACCCTCTCCCGCTTCCCTCAGCTCCCCTTAACCTACACAGGACAGGAAGGCACAGCCCAGCTCTACGCACCCTCAGGTGAACCCGAGAAAGGACATCCTGGACCCCATCCCTGGAGAGCCCTAGAATCTGGTCTCTACCCTCCCGGTATGCCCGGGGCCTGAGATTGGGGCCAACACCCACGTGCACCTGAGGCCAGCGAGTGAGCTTCCTGCCAGAGCTGCCACTGGGGCAGAGTGAGGCAGCCGCCCCAATCCTAGAGTCCTTGCCATCCCAAGGACCACCAGCCTCCCAATGCCCCTGCACTGCTGTGCTTTGTCCTCAGGCAGAAGTGTCCGCTGAGGTTTGGAAAGAAAGCAAGGCCCTGAGGGACAGGCACACCCAGGGCTCCCTTGGGATGTTGCTGGAAACAGGGCAGGACTCCAACTCCAACGCACATCCTATTCTATGGGAATGGCGTCCCCTGGAGTCACGGGGCGCAGGCTGCATGCCTGCAGGAGGCAGCGGGGCTGCGCAAGCCCCAGGTTGCAGGAGGCAGCAAAGCGAGGAGCTACTCACTGCTTGGTCCCCTGTCCCACAGGGGGCCTGTCAAGCCTGCGGACAGCCCCCCTTGCCACCCCCCGGCCCCACATTGCTCTGAGGCCTGGCTTGTACTGCACGGAAGCTGCTCTCACGAAGCTGTGGTTCCCGCCGCCGCCATCCACCAGGATAAACCGGTGCGGGCTGGAAGACTGCACATGCCTACCCCAAGATTCTGATTCAGGTCTGGGGTGGGGCCCAGATGTGGGTGGTTTTTAAAGGTCCACGGGTGATTCCGATGCATTGGCAAGGTAAAGCTGGTCCACACACGTCCCCTGAGCACTTTGGGCCCCACCCACGGCTTCCAGTTGTCGGTTGGTGGACAGTTCCCAAATTGCCACCTTCAGCCCAGCTCTCCACTTTGCTCGGGGCCACAGCTTCAGACACTTCCTGGACATTGCCCCGGGGGTGATCCGCAGGCCCCTCCGACTCCACCCGTCCAACCCTGAGCTCCCGTGTCCAGCTTGTCCTCCTGGAGGGAGCCCCAGCTGCCAGCGGGCACCCCCTCCGCCTGGTCACTTCACCCCATCTAATCAGGCACCAACTGAGTTTTCCAGCAGGTGTGGTCTGAAGAGCCTTGCAGCACCCTGCTCACCCCGCGTCTCTAACTCAGACTCCCCTCTCCCCGCAGCCTGCTTCGGTCTCCCCAGACCATCCAGCCGGCCGCAGCCAGTCACTGCGATGTGTGTCTGGTCACAACATTTTGCCTGACACCCCTCGGTGGTCCCCAGGGCCACTGGTATAAAGTCCAGACCCCCTAGCATGATGCGTGGCACCTGGCCTTTCCTTACCTCTATTGGCGTTACTCAGGCCACCTCCACCCCACCTGCCAAATTGCCGTCATTAGGCACCTGAAATACTAGCCTCCAGCTCCTACCTAGGAGCCTTGCTTACGTTTCTCCTCTGTGACCCTCCCTTCGGCCGCTGGCCCGGCGAGGCTGGAGCACGGGTTTGCCAGGGTGTGTCCCAAGCCCCAGGCGCGGCTGGAGCAGGGTCAGGCTCCAGGAGGCCAGCGCAGCACCCCGGCGCCCAGACACCTTCCCCGCATCTGCGGAGAGGAGCTAGCGGTGGGCCAGACCCTGCGGGTGCGGGACCCGGGACACCACGCCGATCTCGGCGCCCCCATCCCCGGCCGAGGCAGGGACCTACCCGTCCCCTCCCCGCCCGCCCTCAGCCCAGCCTCCCAGCTCCCTACTTCGCGTGTCTACAAACTCTGAACGCCTAGTTCCGTGCCTCTCCGCTGCGCCGGCTTCACCCTGCGTCCCAGGGTCCCTTCCCCGCGTCTCCTCCCCCCACCTCCCCGCCCTGCTCGGGGCACCTAGCATTGGCCGGGGATTGGGGGGGGGTGGGGGGGAGACCGGATCCCAGCAGGTGGAGCGGCCAGGTGAGCCCTGAAAGGTGGGGTTGGGCGGGGGCGCTGCGGGCCCCACCCCGGGATCCGGTGACGCCGGGGCTGGAATTTGACACCGGATGGCGGCGGGCAGGAGGCTGCCGAGAGATGGAGTTGAGCCCGGCCCCCAGACACGGCCCACGGGCTCTGCCAGCAGCAGGTCCCTCGGGCGCCAGCCCTACTGTGTCCCGGACCCAGAGCCCTGCACTGCGGTAAGCCGACCTGTTGGCCCACCCCGTCCCAGCCGCGGGGCGAGGGGGCGCGGGCCGGATAGCCCCCCTCCGCTCCCCCTCGCATCCTCCCTCTCCTGGGCTGGAGGCACGGCTCTCCGCCCCTCCCAGCCCTCAGTCCCCCTGTCGCTGGCCGGACTGCGCTCGCCCGCTGTAATGTGAGGCTCCCGCGGCCGCTACAGGGCGCACACCGGCTGCCAAGGCCACACTCTTGGCTAAGAGACGCGCTGCCAGGGGCAGAGCCCTGGGCATGAGCCTGTTCAGCTGCGGAGGAAAGGCCAGCACTGGTCCCAGGAAAGGTGCCTAGAAGAACACGGAGGAGGACCCTCCCGCGGTGAGTATCTGGCTGGCTGGCAGGCGGGAGGACTGGAGGACCAAGTGGCCCCAGGCTGCCAGGAGGGAGACTGGGCCTGCCCTGCCCTCTAGAGACCTGCTCCTGAGCTCCCCCTAGCGCAGGGGGCCACTGAGGCTGCCCAGCCCTGCCCGCCCTCCAGCGAAGAGAACAGCCACTAGCCTGGCCCCTCAAGGCCTCATTCAATTAGTAAGGCACACCTGGCCCTGGAGGACCACACCTGGGAGGCCCGGCGAGGTCTGGTCCACAGGTATGCAGACGTCCTGTGTGCTGTGGCCTGGGGGGCAGGGGGGAGTGGAGGGTGACACCTGGGACCTAAGGGCGGATGAGCCAGGGAGGGCTCCAGGGCCCCAGAGGGAGGAATGCCAGCCAGTGTGGGTTCACCAAAAGTTGGTGGGGCTCTGCAAGGCTCCCTGGGCTGGGCTCAGGAAGGATGGCTTGTGGGGGAACCTGATGTGGCCGGGGGAGTGGGGGGGCAGACTCCCAGGTGCACAGGAAGCTGGAGGGCGGACAGACCTGGGCCAGCCCTCCAAGACCTGGGCCAGCCCTCCAAGACCTGGCTGCAGTGGAGGCCTGACTGGCCCTCCTGGGAGCTGCTCACCGCGGAGTCTATTTGAGCCGAGTGGAAAGCCCACCCCCCACCCACCCTTTGAGTCTGCAGGCTTGGCAATGCTGCCCCCTGGTGGCCTCGGGGAGCCAGGCCCAGGCCCTCTGTGCGAGGACCCCTCAGCCCCAACCGCGGCGGGCTCCTGAGGGGCATCTGCGGTGAGATGAGAGCACCCTGGCGGCTCTGGACCCAGGCAGAGCAGGCAGGGGAGCCCGGGCCAGCAGCGCTGGGTGGGCAACACAGGCTGAGGCCGGGGCGTCGCTGATGTCAACCCCAAATCCTCCCTAGGCCCTGTCTGGGACATGGAGAGGAAGCTCTCTGTAGGTGGGACCACACATGTCCAACTAGTCCCTTCTCCGGCTGCTGCTGGCAGCTCCGGCCCTGCAGCGCCGAGCAGGGAGGTCCTGGGGCAAGAGGCCTTGTGATGTCAGGCAGCCGCTGAGCTTCTCTGAGTCTTATTTGCTTGGGTGGAAAATGCGGATTATGCCGTCCACGGCCTGGAGCTCTGAGGACTGCAAGCGGGGACAGGTGCAAAGCACCAACTCATAGTTAGGTTCTCAATGCAGCTACTTCTCCTCCTGGCTTGAGTCCAGCTGTCCGAGCCCCTTGGACCTCGTCTGGAGACACCGAAGTGGAGGGATGACCTGCCCAAAGGATAACTCCTCTCTCAATGTTCCAAGTTGCCTCGAGAGGAGGGGCGGCGACCAGGTCAGCCGCGGCTGATGGGAGCTCCGGGTCCTGACAGAGATGGAGTCCGGATGTGGAAGCCCTTCCGTGCTGCCCCCCTGGCCGCAGCCTAGGCGGCAGGTGAGCGGCCCTCCCGGCACCGCCGCCCCGAATGGAGGGAAGTGGTCTGAGCGGGGAGGGAGCACAGGGCTTGGCCTGGGCAGGCCGCAGGAGGGAAGTCGGCGTCCACGGGTGCCAGCTCGCCCCTGGGCGCCCCGGGGCGCCCCGGGGCAGCGGACCCGCCCTCCCCCGCCCTCCCCCGCCCTGCATCCTAAGGGGGCTCCCCGCACCCAGCTAGGCGCGCAGCCTCTCCGATCCCTTCCCGCGCTGCCCCCACCCGAGCCGGGGGGGCCCTCTTCCTCCCACCCTGTCTCCGCGCAGCCCGCCCTGTGGCCCGCCCTGGCCGCCCTGGCCCTGCTCAGCAGCGTCGCCGAGGCCTCCCTGGGCCCCGCGCCCCGCAGTCCCGCCCCGCGCCTCGGCCCGGCTCCGGCCCCGGCGCCCCCTACGGGCCACCTGCCGGGTAGGTGACGGCGGGGGGCGGGGCGGGGCGGGGCGGGGGCGGGGCCCGGCGCGTGACTCCGTCTCCTTGCAGGGGGCCGCGCGGCGCGCACGTGCGGCGGAAGAGCCCGGCGGCCGCCGCCCCCGCCCCGGGCCGCGCCCGCGCCGCCCGCGCCCTCGCCCGCGCCCTCCCGCGGGGGCCGTGCGGCGCGGGCGGGGGGCCGGGGGGGCCGCGCGGGGGCGCGGGGCTGCCGCCTGCGCTCGCAGCTGGTGCCGGTGCGCGCGCTCGGCCTGGGCCACAGCTCCGACGAGCTGGTGCGCTTCCGCTTCTGCAGCGGCTCGTGCCGCCGCGCGCGCTCCGCGCACGACCTGAGCCTGGCCAGCCTGCTGGGCGCCGGGGCGCTGCGGCCGCCCCCGGGCTCGCGGCCCGCCAGCCAGCCGTGCTGCCGCCCCACGCGCTACGAGGCCGTCTCCTTCATGGACGTCAACAGCACCTGGAGGACCGTGGACCGCCTGTCGGCCACCGCCTGCGGCTGCCTGGGCTGAGGCCTCGCCCCGGGGCCCGGCGGACTGCACCCTCGGCCGCGGGGCCCCCTCGGAGCCGGCGGGTGAGTGATGCCAGCAGCCCCGAGAGGCGGAGGGCCCACGGACCCGCGCCCCCAGGGTGCCCGCCCCGCAGACACGGACACGTCGGCTCTGGAGCCCGCAGGACCCGCTGCGCACGGACTGGCACGGACCAGGCCCCACGGACCAGGCCCCGGAGCCAGCCCCGCCCCCAACCCTGCAGTCGCCCAGCGCCCCCCCCCCCCTGCAGTGGCCGGGCCGCCAAGCCTTGACCAGGCCTGGGGGGCGCGGACCGGAGGAGGAGGCGCGGTTGCATTGCGCGCACTGGCCTATACCCACTGGCGGGAGCTGGACCCCTATTTATTACTCTTAAGTTATTTATTTACTTCCGTGCTGTGTCGGATCCTTTCCCGGGCAGTGGGGCTGACTGCGTCAAAGCCGCTGATGGCCGTGGAGAGTCAGGAATCGGGCCTGGCCCGGATTTTCCATTGCTCGCCTCCATCCTGCAGTTCTGGGACATGGGGCACGGAACACAGGCAGAGCGGGTGGCACAGGTGTGTTCTCTGACCCAACAGGCCAGCTCTCACATGCACGCACAGTCCCCAGTGCTCGGGACCTGAAGTTACAAGAAAACCCTACCCTTGGGACAGACCCCAGGCTTTCTGGGGGCCTCGATGTTTAATGACACAGTGAACCACACCTTGCCCCATCCCACTGTCACTAATCTGTGTCCTACCCTCCAGGGCACCCTGACATGCGCATACACTGCCTCTGCTTGTAGACAATCCAGCATGGGGGGCGCTCACTACCCACGTTCCATGAAGCAGCCCAGGGTAAAAGAGCTGCAGAAAAGGCTGGGGCTGGGGAAGAAGGAGGCTGGTTTCTGGAGGAACGAAGCAGAGAGCGTCAAGGCAATAGAAAGGCAGGAAAGGACTGAGAGACCCCAAGAGGGATCTGCAATTTTGAGTGATGAACAAGGATATTTATTCATTCAACAAACAGTGATTAGTTACCTATATGTCAGACACTAGGGAGACCCCAGAGATACAGAAGTGAAAGGGACATGATCCCTGCCCTGAAGCTTAAGTCAGGACAAATTCAATTTGACAAACCGTATGAAAAAGGACAAGAAGCAAAGAGGTATACACATTCATCTGGAAGGAAGAAGGGGTTAGTGCTGACCCTGGCCTTCACAGTGTCCCCAAGTCATCTCTCAAAAGTCCATACAACCCCTCTGAGCTTTCCTGCATGTCCTGTGAAATCCTGTTTCCTGGGTCCTACGAATTTGTCCAATATGATGATGTTCTTTGGAAAGAAGATGAGGGCATGCGTTTGGAAAGGATGCCAACTCAGAGGAACCACCAGGCATATAGAGGGGTTGTCGGTGGCCTTTCACTGGCCTGAAGCTGAGGAGGGAGGTCTGGGCTGGAGACTGTGCTGGCAGCTGTGAGCACAAGGGCAGTAGCTGCGGCCGAGGTGCGTGGGAGCACCATGGGAGTGAGCCGGCTGAGGCTGGGACCCCTCAGCCATCTGCCACTGCTAACCAAAATTCCTTGCAAACTGTCTAAGTGCCTGCCTGCTTTGGCACAGGTGCCCCCGTCACCCAGGACAGGGCGAGGAGCAGGCAAAAGTGAGGGCTGTGTGCATTCTGGGTCAAGGAGAAACCAGTCTGGGCTTCCAGTCTTCTGTGCTCACTGCCCCAGTTCTAGATGCTCCCAAAACTCTGGTGCTCACACCACCTTCAAACCCTCCTTTGGTCCCTCTCTCTGCCTCCAAACTGATTCAGGATCCTCAGTCTCCTGCCCTCCCACTCCCACCCGGAAGATAATGGCACCAGTGCCATACAGTTTGCAGATGCCTCGTGGAGGCCTGGGCCCTGGCCCCGGTTGAGGATGGAGGGGGCATCCTGTTGAGCAGGGTCATTGGGCCCAGAGAGCCCCTGCTGGAAAGACTTGAAAGCCTAGCCTAGCCCCCAAGCCCTCCAAGGAGGCTGACTGAGGCCACCTCTGACAATGCTCACAGCAAGAGAGCCAGGTCAGACCCCAAGCCAATGGTGCTGGTTCTCAACTGTCCCCAGACTGCCAGTCCTGAAGCCAGTAGGGTCCCTCCAACTGCATTCTGGGCCCCAGAGAGATTGTGCCCAACATCTCACAAAGTCCTAGATGAAACAGAACCTTTTCCAAGAACACATTCCGAAATCCCTCTTTAAAAAAAGTAAATAAAGCCACTTTCCCCCCAAAAGGAACAAGCCCCAGAGCTATAGTTCTCTGCCTACGACCTGACCAGGAGAGCACTTTCCACTCCTGAGAGTCACAGGTGGTTCTGGTAGCTCTATTTTTGACCGCAGTCTTCGTTTCACATTTGCAAAGCTACATTGCCCCTTTGAGTGGTCTTCCTAGAACCGAGGTACGGTCTCCTCCAAAGGGCCATCAAGTCACCACCTCTTGTATGACGAAAAACTACAGGCAGCTTTGAAATGGCAGCTTTCCAGCTTCAGGGAGCACCCAACTGCCCTCTAGATTTGGTTCATCCAGGAATCGAGGTTTGGGGTTCCATGTGCTTTCCTGAACTTTCCAACGGCTTTCCTCCTCTCTTGTCCAAGGATTGCCCTATTTCCCCTGGCTCGAGACCCCTGCGGCAGAGTGTCGGTGCACTGGCCGACTCCCTGAGGTCTCCTCCAGAAAAGGAGAGGCTGGGTAGAAAACTGAGGGATCAGAGAAAAGATGTTGGAGAGTCTATGCCACATGAGATCCCCTTTATTGTTCACAGCAGTGTTCTTAACCTGTTTTGGGGCTGTAGAGTCCTTAGAGAATCTGATAACAGCCAGGGATTCTCTCCCTGCGCCCCCCCCCCCCCATGATGAAAAGACCATTCTTCAAATTTATCCTACGTCCTACAGATAGGTATTTGTTGAACAACTAGATTCCCACAGGATTTTGCTTCCACACTTAATCAAGCTCCCCACCTCACCAGCGTCTCTCTATTCTTCAAGCTCAGACTAGGTTTCTCCTCCTCAGGGGAGCCTACACTCATCGTCTTTGGCCTTAGCAGGTATTGCCAATGTCAGCTTCTTCCACCTGAATCCAGGTACAGAGGTCCTCCTTTCCCTTTTGATCATTATTTTTTTTCCCCTGCTGGGATAGCTGGCAAAAGTTAATAAAAGGACAGAGAGGACAGGGCACCTGGCGGCTCAGTCAGGAGCGAGCATGTGGCTCTTGGTCTCAGGGTTGTGAGTTTGAGCCCCACGTGAGATTACTTAAATAAATAAACTTTAGGGGCCCCTGGGTGGCTCAGCGGTTGAGCGCCTGTCTTTGTTTGGCTCAGGTAGTGATCCTGGGGTCCTGGGATTGAGTCCCGCATCGGGCTGCCTGCAGGGAGTCTGCTTCTCCCTCTGCCTATCTCTGCCTCTTTGTGTCTCTCATGAGTAAATAAATACAATCTTTTAAAAATAATAAACAAACCTTAAAAATAAGAGTTAATAAAAGGACAAGTGGAAGTTTAAGGGGTAGGGGCTGCTGGGTCTGCGGGAGCCAGATCTGTGGCTGGTCTCTGCTACACTAGCTGTGTCTCTGGACAAAGCAAGGTGAACGAACCTTCCCCAACCTCGGTTTCCTCCTCTGAAAACGGGGACTAAAAATCCCACCCGAGTTGTCCAGAGAATCGGACCTAAGGTGTGCAAAGCACTGTTCCTAGCACTTAAATGTGAGCTCTTCTTACTCTGATCACTCATAAAAGACAAGTTGCTTCCCAGCGCCTCCCCAAGTCTCCGAGTACTGTCCATGGTATGGGGTTTGCCGGTGGCTCTCCGGGCAGTCCCGAGAGCCGTCCCTTCCCGTTCCAGCGGCGCGCCGAGCCCCCCCCCCCGCTTCTCTGGGCGGGGCGCTGCCTCCTCCCCAGAACCCCCCTTCCTGCGCCCCAGGTGGCGGCGGCCGCGCGGCACCGCAGTGACCTGTTTCTCTCCGGCACCCGCCAACACGCACCTTCATCCACTGGCCCGGCTTCCCAGCTCCGTCCCCCGGCCCCTTCGGTCACGCCCTCCTCGGGAGCTGCTCAGCGGCGCCGCCCGCGGCTCCGACCCCGCCGCGGGCCGCAGGTCCGCTCTGGCGGGGCTCCCCGCGGGTCCCCAGCCCACGTGCTCCCGACCTCTGCCGCAAGGCGCCGCCCTCCCGCTGGGCCCAGCGCGGACTACATTTCCCAGAGCACTCAGCGGCGGGGCCTTGGCCCAGCGGGGGCCTCGAGCGGCGCGCCGGTCCGCCGCCTGCGCGGGGGCGCGCGGGCCGGCGCGGGGACGGGACCAGGGACCCGGAATGAGTTTCCGCGCAGTTCCGCTGGGCCGGGCCGGGCTGTGCCGGGCCGGGCCGGACCAGGGCAGGCGCGGGGGGAGGGCGGCGCCTGAGGCGACGGTGCGGGGGACAGGCGCCGGGGGCAGCCCGCGCCTCGCTGAGGTCCCCGCCCCGTCCCGGCCGGGCCGGCTCGCCTGTCAGTCACTGGGGCGGCGGCGGCGGCGGCGGTAGCGGTAGCGGGGCCGGAGCCGGGAGGAGGGGAGAGCGCGGGCCGGGCCGGGCCGGGCGGAGGGGACCTGCCACCGCCCCTCAACTCTACGGACTCTTCGCCGCAGACTCGCGAGGCTGCAGCCCTGCGCCCCGTCGGACGCCTCCGTAACCCGCGGAGGGCTCGCTCCCCCGTCACCCCCGCCCCGTGACCTCCTCGCAGGACCCGGCAGCCCGCTCACACGAGGGTGTTGTGGGTACAGGCCGTCGACCCTGTGACCTCCCCCGGGCCCGGGGCTCGCCCCCCACCCCGGCCTGCCTTCCCAGGGACTCCTGCCTCGTAGATTGTGGGGACAGACCCGTGACCTGCCGCCGACACCCCGCCTGCGGACTCTTCACCGCCGGCCCCTCCCCCTGCGAACACCCCTTTGGGCGTCTGGCAAGCCCCCCATCCCCGCCCGAGGTGGGGCGGCCTCGGCAGCCATGCCCGCCCTGGGCACCCTGGCACCCCGCCGCTTCCTGGGCACCCAAGCCGGGGTCTAGCAGGGGGCCAGCAGCCAAGGGGCTGAGGCCGGAGGCAGGTCGGGGTCCACCTCCCTGCCGGGGAGGGAGCAAAGATGGAGCGGCGGGAGGAGCAGCCGGGGGCTGCAGGGGCTGGAGCAGCACCAGCCTTGGACTTCACTGTGGAGAACGTGGAGAAGGTACGAGGGCCCGGGGGTGGGCCGTCTGGTGACAGAGCAGAAGTCCTGGGGCCCGGCTCGGATGCCAGAGCCAGGCTTGGGCCGGCTGCCTGCTGGGCTGGTGCCCCAGGGCACCTGGCACTTGCTGCCTCTCTGAGCAGGGTGGACAGCAGTGTGGTGGCCTCTGAATGGGCTATTTTTGGCTTTCCTTAGATATGGGTTCCCTGTGGCTACTCTAGGGTCTTGGGATGGTCCCTCCAGGGTGCGGATAGCCCAGACCTACAGCCAGCCTGGCTGTCCTCCAGCTCCATGGGAACTGCATGAGCAGCGCAGTAGGAACCTGGGAACCCGGGAGACCTACAGCTCAGTCCCCGGGAACCATACAGATGCTGAGCCATCCTGGACCTGTGTTGTGACCCAGCGGCTCAGGAGATAACCCGAGACTGAAACAGCCTGGGCTGTTTTCCCTTTTTCTTGGGGAAGGGTCCTTCTTGTGTTGGATGGAGGCCAGACCAGTCCTGGGCAGGCAGGAAGGGCTGGCCCCCTTTGTTTTGTGCTGGGCCCAGGGGGTTCAGTCCTGCTGGCAGCTTCAGGGTCCCTTCCCTGCTCTCTTGCCCACACAGCCTCCTGTCATGGCCTCCCCAGGCTCTCCCACTGCCCAGGCCGTCTTCTTTGAACTGTTTCTCTGGCTCTTTTCTGTGTTCTGCCCCAGGGGGGCCTGGGATGCAGAAATGCCTCCCCATTGGGATGAATGGGAAGATTGGGGTACTGCGCAGGAAAGCAAGGAATGGTTGCAGATATTCATTTGTTATTCTTGAGCCCTTTTTGCCATACCACATGATGGGAATGCATCCCTTTTGCCTTGCTCTGCCTGCCTCAGCATCCCCGAGGGGCCAGACAAGGGAAAGTAGCTGTAACTTGCCGTCAGAGGTATGGATATGGCTAAGCCTACATGGATGGATCCTGCTTAGGGAGTCAGAGTCCTGACCTGGCTGTTCCACCCCCTGGGACTGGGCGGTGTTGGCATGGTGGCGCTCTCTTCCATGTGCTACCAGGGAGACAAACCACTGTGTTCTTGCCGTGTGAAGTCCCTGTGGAATTGGGACCCTGGAGATTTGGCTAGTTGAGAGCTCCAGACAAGACATTTGCCAGGGCTCCCGGCCAAGACTTCTTCACTAGCTTTTTGGACCCTCACATGTGCTCTCTGAGGGGTGTCCTCACCCTCCCTTCCAGTACGTCTCTGGCCTACGGCCGCCTGGCAAAGTCTTAGTCCTGCTCAGATTTCACACTGGTTTTGGTGCCAGCATCTGGAGTGACCTAGGGATGATCCTGGGGGAGCTGAATAGGACTCTTGGAGTTGATGGGAGCAGCTGTGCCTGGGAGGGTCACAGCCCCTCAGGCTGTTCCATGCTCTTTTCAGGCTTAGCTTCATCCATTTGGAGCCATTCTTTCAACCTGGGCCTTATCCTTTACCTCAGGTGCCTCCCCTTTGGAGAGCTCAGCCTCCGCTTTTTCTGCTTTCCTATGGAGGTTCACTCTCTGGCCCATAGTGTTTTGCTATAAGAAGAAGAGAATATGGCAGAGCGTGGGCAGAGTTCAGGCTCTCAAGATGTCAGTAGAACCCTGGGCCCTTCCTGCTGAGCCCCTCGGTCAGAAACAGAGAGCAGACTTGCAGGACCAAGTCATGCCCTCTGTTCTGGGCTCTGGCAGGACCCAGAGTGGCCAGCACTTGCTCAGTCCTGTGCTGTCCTGCAGGCGCTGCACCAGCTCTACTACGATCCCAACATTGAGAACAAGAACCTGGCTCAGAAGTGGCTGATGCAGGCCCAGGTCTCCCCACAGGCCTGGCACTTCAGCTGGCAGCTACTGCAGCCCGACAAGGTGCCTGAGATCCAGTACTTTGGGGCCAGTGCCCTACACATCAAGATCTCTCGCTACTGGAGTGACATTCCCACTGACCAGTATGAAAGTCTAAAGGCACAGCTCTTCACCCAGATCACCCACTTTGCTAGTGGCTCCAAGATTGTGCTGACTCGGCTATGTGTGGCGCTAGCCTCCCTGGCTCTCAGTATGATGCCTGACGCTTGGCCATGTGCTGTCGCAGATATGGTACGGCTCTTCCAGGCTGAGGACTCACCGGTGGATGGCCAGGGCCGCTGCCTGGCCCTACTGGAGCTGCTGACAGTGCTGCCAGAAGAGTTCCAGACAAGCCGTCTGCCCCAGTACCGCAAAGGCCTGGTGCGGGCCAGCCTGGCAGTGGAGTGTGGGGCTGTCTTCCCATTGCTAGAGCAGCTGCTACAGCAGCCCAGCTCACCCAGCTGTGTGCGTCAGAAGGTGCTCAAGTGCTTTTCCAGCTGGGTGCAGCTGGAGGTACCACTGCAGGACTGTGAGGCGCTCATTCAGGCTGCCTTTGCTGCTCTGCAGGACTCGGAGCTCTTTGACAGCAGTGTGGAGGCCATTGTCAATGCCATCTCGCAACCTGATGCCCAGAGGTGAGCTGGTCCCCATCTTCCCAGAGAAGGACAGCTTGTTTGGCCATCCATCCATCCGTCCATCCATCCATCCATTCAATAAACACTAATTGAGTGCCTACTGCATATGAGGTCCTATGCTGGAGATACACAAGGAGGCAAACAAGACACAGTCCTTATGGTTCAAATAGGGAGACAGACAACTAACCATCCAACGAATTATTCATTACAGTATTTGACTCTTTCTTCTTTTTCTCTCAACCAATCAGTCGCCAAGTCCTGGCTGTTCTGCTCTTGACCATATTGCAAATCTATTTTTTCCATCTCCACTGCCACCACCCTAGTCCAAGCTGTCATCATCTCTCTCCCCAAATTACTGCAGAGTTTTTTCACTAGTCCCCTGGTTTTTACTCTTGTACCCTTTATTGCACACCCAGCAGCTGGAGTGACCTTTTGGAAATGAGCAAGTTTGTCCTTTCTGTTCAGAACTCTTCAGTGGCTTTTCACAGTTCTTAGGATGAAGTTCAGAATCCTTAATGTGATTCACAAAGCAGCTGCACAGTATGGCTAACCTCTAGCCTCTTCTCATGCTATGCTCCTTTCTTCACTCTCACACAATCTTTTCAGTTCCTCGAATGTCCCATGTTCCTCCTAGCCTCTGAACCATCACATGTACTTGACATATCATCTCTACCTCAGCTGAAACTTCTCTTTCTTGGGAAAGCCATCAATGATTTTTAAGACCAAC